CACAGCCCAATATACTGTAGTCAACACATGGATGTTACACAGCCAATATACTATAGGCAACACATGGATGTTTACACAGCTATTATACTGTAGTCAACATATGGATGTTTACACAGCCATTATACTGTAGTCAACACATGGATGTTTACACGGTCAATATACTATAGTCAACACATGGATGTTCACACAGCTAATTTTATAGTAGTGAACACATAAATATTTCAATAAATGTATTTCATGCGTCAAGTTCACTGTCCTATTTAATTAATGTCTTATTGTGGGTATGAAAAATTTGGGTGCATCATGATTAGATTACTTCAAAGTGAATTGGCATGAAATATGGCAACAGAACCAAAGTTACATAAATCATACAGCCCCAGGTGATTTTTTATTTTTAACTACTATAGAACACTTTGAATTAACTACACTCCATTTCAGCCAATATGCCTGAATTGCCGGAGGGGCTGACCATTATTAATGCAAGAATAAATGCATTGCATCCTTAGAAACTGTTCCCCTTGGTTGACAGCAATAAAATGTTTGTAATAAAATATAATACATACAATATCAAAAATGTCTGGGTGACAGTAGAAAGGCTTATAAACAGATAAGTTAAAACTTCTCCTGAGCGATAATTTATGCTAATTTATTCATAAACAAATCGTCAGGTGTACACGAGCGTCTTCATCCAAATTAACTTGAGGATCGGCTGTTAAGCCCCGGAGTCACTAATCACTCTTGGGTGCATTTACTTAAGTGGAACAGCATTCGACCATGCGTTTCACGTGAATATTGGTCTGTACGTTTTGGGGTAACGAAAGTATATTCTAAACGGAGTTTCAAATAAAAACTAACACAACTGCATTGCGTAGCAGCAAATGATCAGGGTTGCGCAATTCGGTCATGCTGCGTTTCACAATTGTTGATTACTACTCAGTACCGTAGTGATTATAATAACGTACAAAAAAATAAATTCGTTGAATTGTTATGAAATGCAAATAAAATTCAACTTAGTTTCATCGTAAGCAAATGATTAGTGATTGTTTTCTCAAGTTATAAGCAAAAACGAACAAAAATAAGTATTTTTGATAACAAAGTGGCTGCCAGTCGGCCAAGCAAATCTGGAAAATAATCAATGTGCCTCAGTATGCCAGTAGGTTTTAACAGAATCGGCCAGCACAACTTTTTGTCAATTTTTGGGTCAAATATTACAGCTAGTTGGTCATTTTGTATCTAAAGAGAACCAACCATGTACCTGATTTGGGAAATCTTAGATAATGCAACAGACTGACGGAATCCAATCCATAAGCACCCGGACTGTTACAGTCATGGGCTAATAAAGATTTTTACCTGAAACAAATCAGGCATGTAGCTGGTGCCCCAAAACTACCAGTGTATAACATTTCATTTGAATTGACAATAAACTTGGGTTCCAATCTAACTCCACATTGTCAAAATTTGGTCCATATTAAAACCAGAATGATCACCAGAAACTGACCAAGTGTCATGCTAAACATAAAGTAGACTATTTTTTTTCACTATTAACACACATTGCCTTTCTCAACTGGGGTGAAATATCTATGAATAGACAGAAGGTGGGCTGATGGACAAGGTGTCACATCATGAAAAGTTAAATGGGAGACTGCTTTGACTCACCTCGGCTACTCCTAAATCAGATATCTTAAGTGTACCATCTGTTGTTAGAAGTAAATTACCAGGCTTGATGTCTTTGTGTATAATTCCTACACTGAATAGATATTCTAAACCGTTTACTAACTGTGAAAAATAACTGAAAAAACACAAAAAAATGAAGATGTTAATTTACACAGGTACTATAATCAATATATTACTAGTATATATATATAATAATGCCCATATACATGTATACCGTCAAATTCTTGATAACTACAAGCTCAAGGTCAGTTGGCCATGTACCAAGTCAAATGTATTAGTCATTTCAACTACCCAGGGAAGCATACAGCCCTGGATGGTATATACAGACACACACAGGTTAGATGCTGTCTTTGAAATTTATCAAAATTATGTACCAAACATCAGAGCAGGTAATTTTCAATAAAAAGAATATCACCAGAACTCCATGGCATTTTTATCAACCCCCACTTTAAAGTTATCCATCTCGAGCATACAGACGAGCTGTAATTTCAAACACTGGTTAGATGTCAAACATTCTATACCAGTTTCCCCATTTACTCCTGGGTAGAGAGAAACAAACTTTGACTAGATTGACTGATTTGAAAATGTTCCTATCAGTGGTTTCCCACTTATTCATTTCCTATTTACCTACTAATAGTACTATTAGGTCACCACAGAGGGTGTTATTCTCGTACACAACTAACCTGAGAAGTACTGGTGTGCATTTCAGACTAATCTTTGGGCAAAAAGCTTTGCAACTAATATTAATAGGTAATAGATTTCATCTTCAATTGCCAAACAGAGAATCGCACATTGATTGATAAAGTGACTAGTAAGATGCTGAAAACTCAATCACAACCAAATCTACATAGCTACTTTAATAGTGATGTTCAACGGTGGGCAAAAATCTTACAAATATCTCAACTGTTGCGTAATATATTATTCACATACCGGCAGCTTCAAACCAAATATTACTGCCAAAATAACTCAGATGGTTTACATCAAAAACACTTCATATGGTAAACATGATTACTTCAGATTGCTAAGATGTGACATAATGCAGCTGGTATTTATAAGTACAATGTTGTTTTAATTAATGTAAAGTGAGCAGAGATATGAAATAATGAAAATTAGCCAGCACATGCAACTTTTGGAAATAAACAGCAATTTTATTCTTACAGGCAAGATGCGAACCAAGATTTTAATGAGTGAATAAAATGGAAAATATTTCACTGCAAGTCTGTATCCAGAATTATATAATCAATATTCACATCTGGATTCATACATGTAGCACACTTCAACTGATTTTTTATTTTCAACTCAACTTTAATGAAGGAATGGAAAATATTGCAATTTGCGATAGTAAAAACGTTGATGTACAAAATGGATACCACTAGGTCAAATTTGAACCAATCCTAAAAAACTAATGTATCTAAGTACATCAGGTGTAATATACATATCGTATTTGTGTATGAAGTATCTATAAACCAATTGCATTTATTGTATAACTGAATCATTAAAATATTACTTACACTACTACTAATAGTCTAAATAAGAGATACTACTACATGTATGTACACATAAAAGTTTAAGTTCGCCACCAGTGTGTAACAGAGGAATGAATGAACTGACTGACTGGTTGACACATAAAACAAAATTCATAACACCAAATAAATCAAAGAAAGCGTAGAAAGAACTCCCGTGTGCTGAGAGTATTATTGGAGACACATTCAAAATTAATTCAAAATTACTTGAACTTGAGATGTTGATGGTAACGCAGAAAACTAATTATGCAAATTAGGTAACTAATATGAACAGATTTAAGTGTAAAACTAATAAGGTCTGCACAATGTAACAAGTTTCATTGAAATGTGATTAGAACCAAAATAATATTAATTATTATGCTAATTAGAGAATTAATATGAACAGATTTTAACCCCAAATTAATCAGGCTGTCTATTGTCCTAGAGCACATATGTACCAAGTTTTATTCAAATGTGATGATCAATACTTGAGATATCAGTATTAATTAATTATATTAATTAGGTGATTAAGAAGCACAAATATTTACCAAAAACTTGTATGGTGTATAGTCCTAGGTTCA